TATTATTATATTATTATTATTATTATTATTATTATTATTATTATTATTATTATTATTATTATTATTATTATTATTATTATTATTATTATTATTATTATTATTATTATTATTATTATTATTATTATTATTATTATTATTATTATTATTATTATTATTATTATTGTTATTATTATTATCACCACCATCATTGTCATCATTATCAGATAAATGAGCGCATTGTGAATATAACTGAACGTCTCAATCTATTTGCAAAAGTTGTAAAGTAATTAAATCGAACTATTGCTATTATTATAATCATTATAATATTATCAATTAATTAATAAGAAATAAATGAACAAATTAAAAAGTATTCAATTATAATTCCATTATACTTACTTTTCCCTTTCTTGCTATATAATACAAAAACATAAATTAAAGCTTTGTTAAATGAATGGATGAAATTTTGAACAGTTCTGCAGTCACAATATGCTATCATTAAATGCCACAATAATTTTTCAATCATATATTATTGTTAATTGCAACAATGATTTTTAATATCATAATTGAATTATGCAAAAATATCACAACTTTGGAAGGTATTTGCAAATTATTAACAAACATATTGAGAAATTAAATTTTTTGGTACAATTTTATAATTTCGAATTTACAAATAATTTTATGTATTATTGATTTCATTACTATTCAATTAGCTATCATATCATTATTTCAAAAATTTTAATCACTAATAATGATGGCGGTGATAATGGTGATAACGACAATGGTGATAGTGAACAAACAATATTAACCGTGGTTTTACTGCAACATTTTAGAATCGTGAGAGGTGGTACGTTCAGCCGATTTAAACTGTGTCATTGTCGTTGTTGCCATCATCATCCTAGTCGTCGCCAAGATTGGTGTCATCAAAATCAAAATGATCCTTTACTGCTCATTTTATCCATCGTTCACAGCATTTCTTCCTTCTTTAAATACGTAAATATCCTAAATTTTGCTGTTTCAAAGTTCTTTTCAAAGGAAGAAAAGGAAAGAAGAAGAAGAAAAAGAAAAACTCATTCTTTCATTATCTGTAAGAATTTTTTTTTGCTCTGTTAGTGTTCAGTTTTCCTGTCAACGACAGTTCAGTTTATTGTCAACATCATCAAACCATTTCATTCACTCATTCATTTATTCATTCATATATTCATAAATTCATCATTCGTTTGTTCACCCATTTATTTGTTCATTTATTTACTTCACTCATTTATTTATTAAATCATTCATTCATTCCTTTAACCATTCATTCAATTCATTCATTCATTTATCCATTCATTCATTTATTCATTCATTCATTCATTCATTCATTCATTCATTCATTTATTCATTCA